TAAAACAAAATCACAACCTCCCTTCCCTCAAACAAAACAAAACAAAACAAAACAAAACAAACTCCTACTCTGCTGGGGATTCTTGCCTTACTGCTAGCGGAGCGGGTGCCCCCTCTCCAAGTTGTGCCCCACATTTTACCATCTTAAAATTAGTAACACTGCTGCTACTGAGTGGCCCCTGCGGAGACTGCACGGGCTGCCTGAGGACTCCTGAGCGTGGACAGCCTGAACCCGCATAGACCTGCACAGGAGAAGTGGCGTAAACCCTACACTGGAGAGGGACTCTCGACGAGGCCAGGCGTTGGTTTGATCGACTGGCTGCTTTGGTTTATGTTGAGGTTCGAGAAGACTTCCGTGGCTTGGCAGGCCCTCCCTTGAACTTTGCGGGCTGTGGTTGCAGGCAGGAGGGTCTGCTGGGGTCTGGTCACTGGGTGAGCAGCACCTGGGTCCTTTCTGCAGTGCACCCTCAAGTTTCTGGAAGCCCTTGGTGTTGTAACCGCAGCAGCTGGGTGCCACACAGGCACATTGTGTGCTTCAGTTGTGTTAAAACTGGCTTGCTTTCTGGGTGAGGAGGGGTGAGGGGGAGAATGAGGTGTTTGCTCAACTGATCTCCACGGAACATTCTCTAGCCCTTGCTTGTGTGATTATGTAACCCCGAGTCATGATCAGACTGTGTGCCCGAGCAGCTCCCCACCAACTCCCGGTCCTCCCCCAGACTGAGGAAGTTGAGCCCCCACGTTTAAGATGTTTTTATGTAACTATGTGTATGCTGGGGGCAGGGAGAGTGTGGAGAAGAGGAAGTATCATTTGAGCAACTTATGTGAAGAACACAGGGCAAAGATCATGTGTTATTGGGGACAGGGTGGAATTGGCTTTGGGTTGGTATTGATCTGAAGACCCTCACACACCTCCCTTTCACTCAGTCATTGCTGGTCTGAATTCTCATGTGGTCATTTCACCCCTGCAGAGAGAAGGTTGGAATCACCCCTGCAGGGCCCCTAGGTTCCTAACAGAGAACACATATCTGAATCCAGGGTGACCACCTAGGCCTACTTGTTTTAGGTCCTCGCTGTTCTTCATGCTTCACACTGAGGAGGAAAATTTGTGCCCCACTGGGGTTTTAGTTTTGCTCTGAGGTTGGGCTTCAGTGTGGGCCTGAGTGCAGACCTCAGATGTTGGCCAAGATGATTAACACATGCTCTTCAAAGCTGTGATGACTTGCAGAGGTGGAAGGCCCTTACGTTCTTGAATTAAAATTTTGTAGGATTTTTTTTTTTTTTTGCAAGGTAGGAGAACAGCTGTCCCATTGAGATCTCTGCAGGCAGGAGGGGAAGGTAAGTGCGACACTTAGCTCCCTAGCTTGCGTGCGCTCTCTCCCCCCTTCTTTCCCATTCTGCTTCACCAAGGCACCCACTAGATGCAGAATTGTCATGTCGGCCTCTTTACCACTCCCCTGAGCTCCTCAGGCTAGGGCTGCTGGGCAGATCATTAATTTGGTGGGGAAGTTCGGCCCCTTCAGGCTAAGATTTTTGTTGTTGTTGTTCTCAACACTCCACTAGGCCTCTTTAAGGGCCAACTACTAAGGTGTATACTGGGGCAGTGGATCAAGATGTGTCAGCTGGCGCTGTTGTTGAATGTCTCCTCTCATTGTGTTTCAGTGGCAGTAGAGAATTCTGTGCTGCCTTTGGGTCCTTGCCAAGTGAGCCATTGGGGCATTTCGTGTGTGAAAGTGACAGGCAAGAAGAAGATGCATTTAGTCTGAAGTCCTGGCAGATTCCAGGCCCTGACTTGATGGAAGATAACATTAAGAAAGTTGTGTGACGACTGGATAGCTTTTAACTTGTTCCTCACTTTTTGCTCTGTGAGTTCCCTATTAACTTTCAGGTTCTTTTCAGCTCTCCACACTGCCCATGAGGGAAGTCTTGACATGTTGTTCTTCTTTGCATTTCTATTGGAATCAAAGCGTATTTACAAATCTACAGACGTACTGGGCAGGCAGAGCAGGAAACACTGGCTAGAGGACTAGGCAGTACTGGTATTTCTGGCCAGACTTGGCCAAAGCCCTTGATCAATGCTGTTCTTCATTTGTAAAGTGGGTGTAATCATCATAGCCTTACCAAGCCAACTGAAATAGTTTGAGGGGAAAATGAGATGGGCTAAAAAGTCACATGTGCTTTGTAGTTGATGGGCATTAGGATAATACCACAACCATCTGGACCTTACATGTAGGTGATTTCACTTACTCAGTTGGGACCTAAGTGGTAAAACCAAGAAAGATGCTGTAGTCCATGTATTTTGATCATTGCAGAAAATTTCATACCCTCTTTCAGAACTCTTTATTTAAGTAAAGTTCTAAGAAGCTTGGTTATTAGATTTGTCAAATACACCTAGAAAATTGGAAGAGATTGATAAATTACAAGGGCTATTAAAATTCTCTTGTCAAGTATCTGTAAGAAGTACTAGTAATGTAAAAAACAGAAAAACTAAAAAAAAAAGTAAAATAAATTTAAAAGGTACAGGAATTCAAACCATAGAATTTTAAGACTATTTAATATAAGTATTTAATGTAAGCAATTCAGTGAAATTTTATATATTTTGATGGGTCTTCAGGACTCTGTTTTGTAGCATAATTACTGATGCTCACAATGATCCATATGTATCAAGAACAGCTTAAGTGACGTTTTGTGTGTCCAATTTTAAAAAACATGAGCATTCGAAGTATACCCCAAATGATTTTTTTAGCATGATGTTTAAAGGAAAAACTGCATTTATGTAGGATAACAGACCCCTGAGGTCTCTGGATAGCCAAAGGCTTACTGATCAAAATTATATTATAACTATAAAGCTCCCTTGTTGAAATTAATGAGAACTTTATGATCTTTTGCTGAAATTTAGCAGGGAAGTGTTATGCTGGTATTAGTAGTGCTTATGTTCTAACATTTGATGCTACAGAAAATACTAAGAAGGAAACATGCAAACCTCAACCTGTCTTGGGGTGGGAGACAGACTTGGAGCCTTCAGACTTTGCAACTCTAAAGCTGCAGTTTGAAGTGACCCAATGATAAAAAAAAGAGGAGAGGCTGAACCTAGTGTCATGCATTTCTTACATCAGTGTAGGCAATGTGTGGACACCTCACTACCAGGATGCTGTTAAAAAACTCATCAGAAAAACAAGTTCAGGATGTCATGGCAACACCTTCATGCTAAGCTGTGGTGTTTACTCAATTCAGACATCGTGCTCAAAACTGAAAGGGTGTCTGAGTTACAGGAGCAGTGCTAAGCTTTGCCTGACCAACTACTGATTTGCTTAGTTACAGTTTGCTCCAAAACAAAGGCACCAGGAAAGGCAAAAGTAGAGGAAAATGATCTCTGATACTTTTAAAATTCAATACATATGTCAAAAATATGAAGACTATAATTAAAAGTAGCTTAAGAGTTTCTAGAGGCACATAAATTCATCACTTTGGTAAATCACTTGAAGAAAATTTTTAACGTGCTAAAAGAAACGATCAATAACAGGTCACTGAATGTGATCAGGAACTCCTGGAAGTGTTCAAAGTCTCCATGTGTCCATGCAAAGAGATGCTGATGTAATAAGTTTTCTCTGAAATTCCAGGGCCTTGGAAGGCAGAGGAGGTAGCTGAACCACACTCTCCAGGGGGTTGCCCTTTTGGGACGGTCACATCTGGGAATATGTGCTTGGGCCATACGTCTGGCCCATTGATGAAAGCCATGCGTGCATGAGAGATGTGACTCCTCTCCTCCTTACTGTTATAAAATGCCAGGTGTAGAAGGCATCCTTATGAAAAAAGAAGGGTGGAACTTTACATGTAGATGTGCAGTAGAGATGAGCTGAGAATACCCCTCAGACTGGGGGAGCACAGCCAAGTCGAGGCATACCGAAGTTAGTCTCAGCGATCTGGGGAATTCTCTGAATGTCCATGGATCCTTGAACTGGGGCTAATGGCCAACTTAAAAAAATGAGTCATGTATGCAAGACTGGGCTCTATAGAAAAGCTGATAAAACAAATAATAGAAAGAGGTGGAAAAAATAAAAGCAGTGCTATACATAAAGGACATGCTCCGTTGAGCCTCTGTCACCAAATTTAGCCTCATCTACCATTCGTTGGACTTCCAGGGTCAGCGTTAGATACTGAAGCTATCTTAAAATCAGAGGAGCCCTGATGAAAAAAAAAAACCCACAATGAATTGTTTTAATATTAATAGAAGAGGAATTCTGAAAACCTCAATCAAGATTCAATACAGTAGACCCTTGA